TTTTAAATAGAATCATAATAATTAATAAAACAATGAAAATGACAATATATAATAAATTCTGATCTTTATTAAAGATGATAACTGTATTTCTTTCCTACGAAACGTAGATTAAATAAGAATTTTCTTTTCGGTGGAAAGTTTTGTGGATTATAATAATTGGAAATATCAATATGTATCTATTGTTGTGTTTCTGGGAAAATCAAATTAAAACTATATTTTTTGAGCATGAGTGGCTTTATGAATATATTGTAATTCTTTGATCCTTTCGTTATAAATTGAACTAATTTAAAAAATTCCTGTCAAAAGTTCATATATTATGCAATATAAATCCACACCGTCCTTCCAAACCCGTCTCTTTGGATATTGCATCATTCCATCGTCTATTGATACCTTTTGTCCTAGTTTATAATTGTGACGTAAACCAACGGTTTTTTGTCCGTCCAGTACAAAAGGGATAATATGTCATGTAAAAATAATCATCTGATTGTTTCAATAATTATTGTTGGTTCATGGTGTTCCGTGAAAAACTTGATGTTCTTGACTTAAAAAAAATCTCCATAGTCTCTATATAAGTTACGGAAATTTTCATGTACTATTTATTTCTTAAAATTTTATTAAAATTTATTGTAAATTGATATTAATTATATGATAGCAATAAGATAGACTATTTACAGATTATTACTACAATATGGAATTTAACTGCATCTAATTTTAGAAAATGTTGTTTTATAAAGAGAATCGAACCAAAATTAATATCGTTTCGGTTTAAGATTACGTTTTGAGTAAATGTTTATCGTTCCAGCTTTGGTTTTTGTTCAACTAAACATTCGGTTCGGTTCCGGTTAAATTCCGTTCAAAATAATTATTTTTTTATTGTTATTTTACTGTTCTGTCATTAAAAATAAATGTCGAGAAGTATGATATTTTTACATGGAGCATAGATGAAAAGCTCGCTGTTTTAAGCATCTTATTTAATTGCGAATATCTAAGGTTAATTTCGGTTTACGGTTTTCGGTTTGGTTCCGGTTTGATCTGATTATAAATAATGTAATAACTAGACGCAAAGCACTCGCTTTAAAACTTAATTGGAGTATACGTTATAATATAAGAAATAAAAGATAGATATATTCAATGTTACTTTTCCTAAATTGTGGATTTAGGTAAGGTCGTTGAAGGTTATGTTAAGTTAAGTTAGGTTAAATTATGTTAGGTAAGGTTAAGAAGATGCTGACGTAAGGGTCATGCAGTTCAATCTTTTTTGGATACGGTGCAGATGAAAGGAAATCGCCGATTGGGATTTAAGGAATTTTGATGGAAAAGCGAGGCGAGTGTGACGGAATTAAAATTGAATTCGGTTGCAGTAATTTATTTGTAAATTCCTGCAGGCCGTTCCCCAGAGAGAGGATGAGGTTTGCGTCCTACTCCAGCTTTGGCCTCGGACCAGGACAGGAACACAGAGGGGACGAGAAATAAATCTATATGCAAAAGAATCCCCGATACCGGTGGACCGGTTCCGATATTGGGCGAGAGCGTGATTGGTGTGTTCCGGTTTTGCGCGGCGCCAATTTCGAATTAATCTCTTATGAAATTAATCCAATATTTCACGGTGAAATAGGGCCGGGGGCGGCGGCGTGCGCTCTAGCTCGCTCGCTCGCCAGATTTAGATATGTCATCCCATATTCCTGTAACGAATCGTCCTCTCACTCAGTATTCCATCCCGATAACGGGGAAAATTCGGCCTCTCATTAGTTGCGTGTACTGTTTATGGAATACCCTGCTTCGGTTGCGCCCCGAAACCATTGCATAACCGCATGTACAAACACGCCATCCGGATGTACGCAAACAAACGCTGCTTTATGATAATTTTGTTTTATGTTTTCGCGGAACGCGCGCGTTCTTCCCCACCAGCAAATGCGTGCCGTATCCGTCCCACCTCGCAACCCTTCAACTATTTACATTTCATATTTGTTTTCCTTCATGCATGCCTACTTTTCGTACTGCATTCTGTTTCCACTCATTTTTTAAGCATTTTTGGCTCACCGTTTCGTTAACATTTTTGGGCTTTTATTTTCATCCACTTTATATCGAAATCGCTGCTCGACAAACGTTTTATCTCACAACTCGAAATTAATTACACCAAAAAACACTCACACGCAATAACAAAACGCTGTTTATACGCGATACACGACGTGAATTACTCTAGCTTTACAATTTATCTAAAGTCGACCACAGTTTTTGATGGATTGCTTTAAAACTTTTTATGTTTCAAATAATTTAACACCTTCTATTTCAAACATTATTATTTTTCACTCATTAATTCTAAATTATTATTAATAATAATAATAATAAAAACAAATAAACATTTTGGTATGGTACTTTATAACTGATACAATAAATTTTATTATTATTCAAAATTTATGGAGAATATTCTGCAAAAAAATTATTTTAGTAATATTTAATTGAAATATAAAATTGTTTGTTTTTAAAACAAATTTATATTTAGGGCAGATGTTTTTTGTAAAATTAGGAAAATTATTAATATTTATCAGTTTATTTTTATTTAAATAGAAGATTTTTATGCTATAATTGTTATAATTGTATATTTTTCAAATTATAATTGAAAAACTTTTAAAAACATGAAAAATTCAATTTATGTGATACAAATTATTAAGAAAGTAAACAGAAATTTATGATTTTTGTGATTAATCTGCAATTTTCTAGAATGTATATTCAAGGAATTTGAATAGTTTTCTTCAGACATTGAATTTACATTTTTAATATTTACAATCGAAATAGAAAATTTTATGAATTACGAAAAACGGAAGAAAAATTAAATGAAGATTTTATGATTAAACTGATCTTTTCCGTTTTTATTTGTTTTTTTTCAAAAAAGAAATATTATTTTTAACATATATAAAGTATTAATATTAAAGCTAAAAAAGATATTTTATTACAATTTTTTCAATAGTTAATAAATCTCGACTTCAATAATAAAAACACATTACATGACATGAGTGATTCTAGCGTTGGTATTTATCTAACGTCGTCTACAGTTTAAGACGGATTGGATTTCCCATTCAGTTTATCTATGTTCTATTTATGCTATTTTTTGATTTGCCTGTTTTTCTAAAACGACACAATATAAAGTTACATAAATATTAGCAAACTAATTATATAAAGAAGTATCAGAAAATAATGTGAGATAAATTCTCGATTTTGAACTATTCGCATTAACGACAAATCAAATTAATTAATTTATTACGTTTTCGTAAATTTTATTTTCGAAATTTGACTTAGAATTATTTCAACTTATGTCCGAAATTGCGTAAGATTAAATTCTAATTTGAATTCACTGACTTTAAAACTTTAGAATTCAGTATATTTATCTAAAATGAGATATTACGAGTTGAACATATTGCGGAAAGCACGTCTTTAGGAAAGGGCTTATCCAAAATTCGAAGCCCTATATCTTCCAGTTTAGAAAATGAAAGGGGGCCACAGTAAGTGATGGGCCGCCCTGTATTTATGCAAAATCGTTATGCAAAGCATACGAGGATGGCCAAAACATTCGGAGTCTTCACGTATAATCATTTTGGGACTTGCAACGACCCACATCGAGTAAGAAAATATAGTTATTAACTTTTTTCTCCAAGCCTCAGATATAGACCAAACGCAACTCGCCGTATCCTCAACAGCTTCTACAAAAAAAAGTTAAAAAAAAGAAGGTTTTCAGCGTAGCTTTACACATAAAACCGGTAATATTTTATCATTTAAATGCAAATATGTAATGGCACAAGAGGGATAAATCCATCGTGCTACTACTAACTTTGATACAATATCAGCACTATATAACAGGTTAGAAATGTTACGTAATATCTTTTATACGTTTGTGTCTATACAATTAAATGATTTATCTTGAAAGTTAGATGTTTGATGGGATTGCGAAAGTCGTTTTAAATTTTCCCTTCCGCATCGTAGAGTCTATAAACATTTTGATTTGCGAAGTAAAACGGTCTGAATTGAACGTCACAGAGTAAAATTCGTCTGCGAGATCTGAGAAGGAGATACACAAATGTGTTCAGATGTGGGAATCGCTTTTATCGGGGGAAAATCGCTTAGAACGGAATGCAAGTCGCTTTGTAATCCTTTGTCGCTACAATAATACCTTTCACCATATGTACATATTTAACAGGAAATAACACGTAATGTCTATTTTGTCCTTACAATTCCGAATCTGTTTTGAGCATGTTAGAACGTATAGAACAAAATTATAAATTTAGCTCGAGAATTGCTCAAACTTTGGCAGAACCCGAGAACTTTATTAGTTTTCCCAGAGATATAATAAATATAATAATAATAACGGAAAGAAATGAGCGGATGAACGAGAAAGGGGAAATAATTCGTTTTATTGGGAAAGCATGTTTATGCATTACATGTGTATTATATCAAGATGAATATGTGTATGGAATATATTAAAATTGGAATGGATACAACATGCATTTATTTTCAGGAAAAGTTTTCATACAAAATGGATTTAATATATGCATGAATATACATTTTGTTGTTGAAGTATTATTAGCCTAAATGTATTTTGAATGAATGAAATATTGTGTATTATTAGATCGTGATTTCCCTATAATAAAATCAATTTCAAATGCAAAAAATAATGGTTATTATTTTAATATAAAATATAAAAATATATCCATCAGAAACTAATATAATACATTAAGAAATATATAAAGGTGAATATTTATAATCCAAGTACAGTGGCTATAAGAGACCTAATTTATTATAGAAAGGTCTGCTATACCAATAAATATGAATAAATGTACATTACTCAAATAGTTTAAAACCGCTGTTTGAGGTCCTTAAAACCCCAAAAAAATAATAGAATTTATTTATATCAGACATGCTCTATTGTTATTCAAACCATTCAATTCGTTCAAAGAAGATGAGTTTAAAGAATTATAATCGGATGTATCAGTGCATGAGAAACTTGATCATGGATCCTCGATCGGTGGAGAATCCACTTCAGAATCGTCATCGGAAACCGGGCTCTGAAATTTGCCTTCCAATTTGAATCTTCGTAAACTATATGCACCTTTTGAATAGTCTCCTTCTTGGTGTAGTGATAAATTCAAGCTGCTTCTGTTTACTGGTTACGCTTTGTGTCTCGGCGAAGTTCTTAGCATCTTCTTTGTATGAGACGACAGGATTATTTTCGGTTATATCAAAATTGATGCATTTGCGTCTAACGTGGTTAAGGTACCTCTTCGGCGTGTTGGGTTGTGACATGATATTTCGACGACGAAGACGTCCGACCGCTGGGTAACGCTTTTAATTAGGAGTTTTTGGGCTATCGTCCATCGAAGGAATTTCTACGCTTACTGCACTTGATGACATCTCAAATTCAACTGTTGCAGTTCAATTTATATTGAAATTTCGTTGCTTTATATAACATACATCGTAAAACATCCCTTATTTTAGGAACCAGATGATAATACTACCTGTTTAACCGTTATATATTCAGTTTCAGGAGAATTTACAGATTTTCCTTCTTTTAACTTTTTAAATTTGAATGAACATATAAAGCAATAAAGCACTCCCAAAGCAAAACACAATTTCAAAATTAATGTGTTCTAAAGCATTTGTAAAAATTTCCCAAGTTATCTGTAAATAATGTACATTAAAAGGTCATTATAATGTCAAAGATATATAAAAATTGTTTTCTTTTCAGTTAAGGAAAAACCCAAAGGAAAATAAGGAATTAAAAAAAAGGTGTTGCTGTTTGGTGTGATTTTAGTATTTTGTTGTAGCGTGCAATTTGTAAGGTGCAA